AAATGGATTTTTGAAACCACAATAATCCGCTATAAAAAATGTCGTTTTTCGCGTGCGTCGAAATAGATTTGGACAAACGCAGTTATATTTTGTCACCGAGCAATTTTATTGTTCCCTAGCGTGGCATGCACTTTTTTATGACGTATATACACCTCCTCGTCAATTTCCTTTCTCCTTAGTAACGCCGAATGTAAACGAAGCAATAATAATAAATTCAAATTAATACGAACAAACTGTATTCCTGAAATGTGGTTTTCCACGTAATTATAAATATTATATACGCGATATTAAATCATAATTTACCTCAATTTATCCGAAAATTTATATGTAATTAAGCAATAAAATCATTGCCTTTATTTTATATCGCAATTAAATTATGTTATAACTCTTGCGATTAATCATTTTTCGACGAAGCAATGTTGAGTGGTCTGCTAAAGTTTTCATTGGTTTATTATTTCCACATTGATTTATATCCTACATTGATTTATATCGAGAATTAAGCTATAAATTAAACGACCAATACGTTATAAAGATATGATGAAGTGCATGATATGCGATTTTTTTTCATATTTCCATAATCCAATTTGCAAGTCTGCTAGACAGAAACATATGTCGGGATCGCATTACAAATTCCGGCTAGAATCGGGGAATCGAGTCTTGAAATAACCATTTCATTAATCTAAATCCAGCAAGCTGTCGCACATCACCGTGTGTGTTATTGCCAAAGTCAAAGCGTGCGAAATTTATTTCCGCATTCTATGTAACAAGTCACTAAATGCAACTGAATATATGTATATGCACTTTTCTTAACGTTAGATAACATAGAATGCGTGTGGTTACACGCTAGATATAAATTTGACGACCATATCCGACCATTGAAATTCAATATCCGATAATGAATAAAATAATAAAATTTTCTTCCGAAATAATGTAATTAATCTATTTTTAATCATATCACAATCTTAATTTATTCACGTTTCTTTTGAACTTAAGAAATATTCATTATATCAATTGTATAAAATCAAAATATTTGATAAAACTGATGTGTGTATCTCGTTCCGATGTATAATAAAATTATAAGCAAATTTATAATTATCTGTCCAGTATTCTAAACTAAAGAACTTTTACGATAATATGTCCTTTGCGAAAATATATTATCTCAAAACATTTCATATTTATAATTTAATGAAATATATTGCACAATCATGGGTAAAATCTCTGTCTTATACTTTGACTGCTTGGTTCATACTCGATCATTAAGATCGTATATTTCCGAGCTGTTATATGGTATACTGAGACAATTTAGTCCGATGTTTATTTGCACAGTCACTGCTATTATTCCAAATTACGACGCAAATCGTACAAACGTTTGCATACACACGGCTCAGCTATTTAAAGGCCGATATCGCATTGAATTTACATCCGAGCACGTGTACCCCGATTTCGCGAAACGTTTGTATTGTGTAAAGGTCAATGTTCTCTAGGACCCTTCCCGCGCAATTCGATGAAATATCTCGAAATATACCTGGCCTTTGCATCGCGACAACGATTTAATATAAGTTATTTGTCTAGTCTTATTCTTATCCTGCGGTACATTTAGATTCATGTCTGGTATGTTGGTCTCTACAAAGTGTATGACTACTACCAGGTGAAGAATTCTTCGCGCGTCCTGATTTGATGTATATATAATATCCTAAGATAGATACTCTTGCAATCTTTTCCTCCGTTTCTTATCGAAAGTTAAAAGAATATAATACTAAGAAAAGTATTAACAAAAATATATTTTGACAAAATACTTGTTTCAATATTATTAGTTTTATAAAATATTATTAGTTTTATAGTTCAATATAAAATTGAATTTTATGTACATATTAAAATATAATACTGAAATAATACTGTTAACATTAAATGTATACTAATTTAATCATTTATAATAATTTTCAAAATTGATAATTCAATTTTTTCTACGTATATTGCGCTTTAGAAAAGTGTTTTTTTTTTATTTTTATTGAATAAATAGAAAATGTATAAAAATTTTACTTCGGGGTAAAAGCAATATAATTTTGCGAATATATATTTAAAAAATCAATTTCAACTTAATAAAATATTTCAAAATATTTATTTCAAAAATATTTAATTAGAAAACATTATTCAAAGTTCTTTTGTACACTCATTTCCTTCATTATAATGCGACTCACAAACACACAGAGGATATCGTTAACGATATTAATATTTATCTGCTCATGACACATATGTCATGATAAACCAGACATGAGATGTATCCTCTCGTGTATTTCGCCACTATTTTAAGCGCGATATATTGGCAAATATGCTGCGTAGCGATACTTGAATATTGTATCGCAATAATCCGAATTAAATGTTTTATTAAGCGACTAGAGCTGCAGTAAGATACTTCGATTTTGTCTTACGATTTGAAGCAATATCGATATAGAATAAAATTACAATAGATGTAACTCAGAAGCTTTGATTATAAATAGTTTAACTAATTACGAAATAATACTTTATATAACAGATAATCAACATTTGAGCAAATAATGATGTTTGAACAAAGAATTACTAGTTGCGTAATTTATAATCTGTATATTCAAAATTTTTACGACAAAATATACTATAATTTATTATATTTTTTTAAGGATCTCCGTTTTATTAAATCTAAACAAAGCAGAGAAGAGGAAATATATGACACATAAATAATATAACATATATTATTTATGCTATCATATTAGTATATTTATAATAGATCATATGTTATTACATATTATATGTTATATTGTTATCATCCTAAATATTTTAATATGTGCATTTTTGTGTTTTTCCATATTCGCTTAAGAAAATTAGTTTAATTAAATATTTTTCATTTACTTGAATAGTTTTGTTTTACTTTTGTATTTTCAATTTTTATTTATGTTCGTGTCATATACTAAAAACTTGTTTATAATATAAATATATTATAACACAATAATATAAGCACACAACAGTAATATTACTTAATTAATATAATAAATTAATAACGTAATGACAGGATTATTTGATAAATCTTGTATATATATCAAATGTTATTGTATATATATACATATGTTCACGCGTTCTCTCCGCGAATTTCTGCAATAAATATGATATTAAATTCAATTTGCTTTGCACCTCGTAAAAGCGAACTCGTTTGTAACGCCAACCACGTGTCGCAAAAAATTTCCAGTCCCAGAGTATAAATCAGATTTAAATCGATTACTTCCAGCTGCAGCTGTCATCATTACATTGATACACATCGAATTTTTATTGATCGCGCATCGAAAGAACCAAAAATTTGGTACATTTACCGCGTTCTTCAAAATAGCGGATATTTCCCATTCACAGATCCGTCCAGCAAGTTACGCATATATCCGCAAAACGTTCTCGTTAAACAAATGTTTGTCTAGTGGATGAAAAAGCCGTAGTATATTTTCGAATAAAATGAAAATTTGATCGGCGCATTTGCTGATTAAATACACAGGAGACCTCGTGCGAAAAAAAAAATAAAAAAATAATTAGCGAGAGATAGAAAAACGAATGTTAACGATTAATTCATTATAAATGGATAGCAGTTATGACAATTCATTCATTCGTAAATGTCAAGACGTTAAATGCAGAATGTTAGACGAATAATTGCTTTACCGAAACATTCTGAGAAAGTAAGAAGAAAGAAAACAAGGGCGAAGAAAGAGCTAAGAGCGTGCTTGAGAGCTAAAACCTTCGAGGAAGCTCTAGCTAGATGAGCTTTTAATTAAATTGAAAAGATGAGCTCTTAATGGAATATGAAGTCGCGCGTTTTATAAATTAACCGGTACTTGTACAAATTGTAAAATATCACCTTGTTTTTGCCACATATTAATGGTAATTTCTTATTCATGATACAAACCTTTGCATACCGATTGCATAGTAATAAATTAGATATGGATTTATAATACATATTTCAGGTACTTTCTTCAAGATTTTTTTCGAATATGACAATTCTATATGAATGACATTATTATATAATTTTTTCCCCTTATGTGTGTTTATAACTTCTTTACATATAGTAGAATAATAAAATATCTGATATTGGTATCATGAATATAATATATGAAGAAGCAAATGAATGTTTGGTAATGCTGGAGCCAAGATATTTTGCGCCATAAAACAAGAATCATCGCTATTTTTACGTTGCAATCTACACTTCGATACACTTCGTAGTATTGTTAGCACCTTCAGTTATCGCGCGAGCAAGAAGCCTTCAGTTGGCTCTTTAATTAGTGGTTCGATCGCGGGAGAGACGCAAGAAAACGAGCTTTGTGTGACAGGATAGCTATGCGAGCGCACGAACAGAGGCACAGAGGCAAACAATGTCGAATGACATCGACCCATCGGCGAGGAGAAGCGGAGAGAAACGGCGGGAGAGCTCAAAGCTCATCTATTATTGGCGCAAACAGAAATAAAATGCAGTGCGACGGCCTGTGAAATCTAAAAGGCTGACGTGCTGCCAACTTTTGTTCTCTGTGGTTTTAGCTTCAATATTTTTCCTTCAATTGTGTTTTATAGTCCGCGCGTCGCCAAATTGCGCCACTTTTTCGTCACCGACTGCCATGTTTACAAATTTGAAAAAAAATAAATAAATAAAAAATAAAAAATGTGCCGCCATATATAAACATCATATTTGTCATTTATCATAATTTTATTATAAAATTATATATATATTATATAAATAATATATATTTATTTGTTACATATTTATCTCCCACACTGCTTGTTTTAGACATTTAAGAATACGTTTGTGCTTAAGAAAAATATATTAAATAATTTGTAATATATATTTTTTCCTTTTGTCTAAACATGTTAAAAATACGAATTAAAAATTACGCAACCAGCGTTTATTCATATTTTATCGGTTTCAATTGTTAAACACAAAAACAGAAGTCGCATTAATATCAATTGATAAACTCTCGTAAAAAACTTACCACAGTGATGGGTAAACTGGATTGATAATTGTGAAGAGGAGGACGTGATTCGGCTTGTTATTGTCTTCTCTGAAACATTAATGATTGACGTATTATTCCAGCGACGCACAGATGACTTTATTGAAGTTCGCCTTAAGGCATAATGCGTGATCGCGTAAAATCGAACTTCCATCATTCATTCTCATTAATAGACGCTCCAATTATTTGAAATTCAATTACGGAAGTCGAAAACGAGATCTCGATTATCGCTGAGTTCGCAAAAACTGCTACGAATAATAATTCATTCTTTGTCGACTACAGCACGGACGTTTTTGCTGACACAGGGCAAAAATTGCATTGATTGCTGAAACTAGAAATATTATCTCAATTCTCCGTACAAATTGAAAAAAAATTAGTTTTAATGGACTATTCGCGCGATCCTCCATTAACACTATCTCTATATTTTTAAATATCATATTGCGAAGTGAAAATACTCCCGCTACAATTGAATGTTCGTTGCATTCAATTTTTTTATTTTTTCGATATTAGTAAGCAATCTCATTTTTATACGGAATCACGCCGGCGTTTCATACAAGGACGTGAAATGTTTCATACGCAAAGTATATAAAAATATTATGGGAAACGTGGATTGCACATGTGTATAACGTACAGGACAGAGAATTATGACGTCAAGAATGGAGTATCTCACATTCTGGAAAAAGCTGAAGGAAAAACGAAACGAAGTAATCTCCACTGGAGATTTGACGCGTTCACTTGTATATGGAAGGCAACCAACCGGTGATGAACGCCAGCGCGATACATTTTTCACGGTTGATATTGGTATATACATTTTCTCTTCTTTCTCTCTTTCTTCTGTTTCTTTTCTCTATTGTGACTTGCATCCAACACAAAAATCAATCGATATAATTCTTCCACGAGTATAATGGCGAGAATACCATTGCATCGGCTAATGGCATAGAATATCCAATCGCGAGGATCGATGCAAATTGAATTACCATACTCGCGATCATCATGTTATTTGAAGCTTGTTTATATCGAATTTTTGTATCACGATATGATTTATTAGGTAGCGGATCGCGAGATGGAAAAGTAATGATAAACATGAATCGTCTTAATCTCAATAACTCTTTTTCGATACTATAGAACAATTTTCTAACATTAATATTTGTATCAACAAAATTGTATATTTAGAATTAAAAATTTAATTTTTCGAGCATTGAAATATAAGAAAAATATATATTTTACTTTCAATAGAAAATGATGTAAACAAAATTGAAAATATGAAACTCACAATAAAAGAGATATATCGTTTTATCTCTATCCCGTTTTCGATTCTTACCGATTATCTAACATTGATATCTACATTTGCGACCACACTGGCTTTGCCAGCTCGAATTTACCTTTCCAAAGAGTTATCACGAATCCGTGGAGCAGATATCATTCGCTATCGGTTGCTCCGGTGCTAGATTGAATCACGCTTAATGCTCGACTTAACTTCTTATTATTAGACTTGGACTGTAGGACGACAGACGGGTCAAACTTCAATGACTACTACGTCGTTTTAATTAATTTTCAACGTCGCGACGTATAGACCGGGTTTTGGTACTTATCGAGGATCCAATTCCACGCTCGAGTGTCTTTTTAATAGCGCGTCATTGATATATAAAAGCGTATCGGTACACAAATAGGAACTTCTATATATAGTTGGAACCAAAACTCCATATTTGCATTCCATTGTAATTAAAGAACAAATATAATTGTATAAAATACGCAAATTAATATATAATAATAGTAAAAGTACTGTTAAATAACAAAGTACGATTTTTGTGCGCAAAGTCTTACTTTGTAAAAAAAAAGTTTAATAAAAATTTAATATGCTCTGATATCGAATAACTTTATTGAGAATGATCGAGCACGCAAATTGCGTGCGATTGATTTTAATGGCTGTTTATGCAAAGTAATATGTTGAGACGCTCGAATGTCGCCATTAATTTGCACGAGTTTATTGTTCAATCAGATGCGTATCGCAAATATTAATAGGTCAAAAAAATGCAATATCACATGATTGATAGCATGTTGGAAAAATCAAGATGACATATTCTAGTAGTAACAATCATCAATCAGATAATCCTGTATAAAATTTGCATAGTATCGATAAATTGTTTGGAACGATAAGAGAAGTAATCGCGATCACTATATATATATATATATATATATATATATATATATATATATATATATATATATATATATATATATAATTGTGTCCTGATAAAGATACAAGTATTATTATTCCTGTTTCATCAGTAACATACGTTTTTAATATCGACGTGGAATAATCGCATTATTACTTTCGCGAACACGTCGACGACTTTTAATTTATACAAAAAAATATATAAATAATAAAATAAAAATTCCCTTACCTTTTACGACGTGGCTCGTCTCCGTATCCGCCATATTCGTGATTCTGCAATCAGAAACAAACAGCATCGTTAATAATTTCCCTTGCAGATGATTAGATCGTGAAATTCGCGCGAATTAAACGTTTGTTAATGACTTTATCCGACTTGCATCATTTATTTGCAGCCATTCGCATGCGCAGGCTTGCGTGCTGTCGGCAAGTTCTCTCTCGAAAACGAGAGCTAGTTTACACTCGAAACTATACTCGTAAGTCGAGAGCACGGATTTCCTGAGCGGTGATTTCTCCTCGGGTGTTCCGCCAACCTCCTGCGGCAACACGTGTTACCGTCTTCCGTCGTGGGAAAATTGCGTAAGACAAATTCGCGCGGCGGTTTTGGCTGAATTTCGATGGTGCGCGGCGACGTCACCAGGGATGCGTGCTCGGTCAGTCTATTAATACGCGTGCACACACATCTTTTTACCACGGCACCCAAAGCGACGGAAATAGTGCAGCGAGACACCTTAGGGGCTGTGACGTATGGCTGCGTAGGTAAATTCTTGAGACCCAATCGAGATCGCATAATTAAATGGTGCAGGAGTAATAGAGCTTGCAATCTTCCGCGAGTTAGGAACTTAAAAGCGATTCATTTACAGACTATAGTTCATACACTGAAAACAAAATTATTGAATTTAAATTAATATTTATTACAATACTGCCTAATAAATCATATATTTCAAACTAATAATATTGATTTGATGTGAAAAATATGTATTTGATATAAGGAAATCCTTTTCAAAATAGATAAATATTTGTTTTAAATAAATGATATTTTTGGTAGTATTGAAATATTTATTAATTTAATAATTTTTTCAGTGTGTATAGTGAAATTAATTTTTAAAAATGATATAAATAGGTATATATAAAAGTTTTTTTTTTTTTACAGGCTTCTACGCAGAAAGAATTTTCTCTTAGAATTTATCCTGAAAATCGTGGGACAATATGGTATTGGAAGAATTTCATAAGAATTTCTTTGATTAATATTTACCACAATAAAAAAATATATCTACCACAATAAAATATAAAATATTTTCGGTTAATTTTGCTGCAGTAAAACTTACTATGTACATATTGTTCCACGACTACCATAATTTGCGGGTAAATTCTACGAGAAAATTCTTTTTGTGTATGCTTTCGACTAGTATTCTGGTAAGAAGGAGATATAAAAATATATAAATTTATTCGTTGAATGGTATTCAATACGGAAGTATACCGATAAAAGGATTTGTAGTAAAATTATATATAGATGAGATTTATTTATTTTTCATCCGGTGCGACAAACGGTTCGTGTCATGGCTCGCCATTGTGCTCTCTATGTAATCCGCTTTGGGAAACCGAGTGCGAATGTCAATTCTCAAGCGTCTAGTCGCTTCATATCGCGTAATGTGCAACGGTGCTAGTGAATAAAACATGAAGCGCATTGGTACGTCGGAGTGACGTGTCGCTTGTCGTGACTAAATAATTCATTCATGTTTTCCGCAATCGCGGAACGATAAGTGAAATACATTCACGCAGATTCAATTATCATTAAGTTTGTGTCCGATCACTCTGTAAATTTGATTTATATAATGCATTAAATCGACGATACAAACCGAGAGGATAACTCGTGAAGTGCATTTCTGAACATGTTTGTAATTAAACATTTATATTAATGAATTGAAAATCTTGATAGCTGCGTATGTATAAAGTTGTGAATTCGCGCTGTATAGATAAATATATGTACATCGACTGCATATAAGAAAATATTTGAATTAGCACTCTGAATTTTTTAGTAGAAAAATTAATTAAAAATTTTTTCACTCTCTTATCAAAGACTTTGTGGATGAAGAAAGATGCGACTCTCTTTTAATGGATTTAAAAAAATTATTAATAAATAATTTTCCAATGTACAATATATATTATGTAATAATATATATTGTACACAGTATTAGTTCAAAATACAACGCATAAGAAGATATAATCAAAGGCAGACGAGGAAAACGCGTGACGGAACTCGTAATCTGTGGATGTGCGTTGCTAATGATCCGAAATTAGCCTGAATGGCAAAGGTAACAAAGGCGCTGCCATTTGGTTTTGCGCTCAAGCTGAGACGTTCAAGTCACATCACCCTAGTAAAGTATCTTCTTGTTGAATAATAAAGTCGTAATGCGGTGGGGTCAACGAGCATTTTATTCTTTCTGTTAAGAGACTCTGCAGAAGCGTCGAACATACATATTTATTATCATTCGTAAAGGTTTAATGTAGTCATGCACACACGGATATAAAGTACCCTCTACTGACAAAAAAGAAATTTAAACAAACAAAAAGTTGATATAATTTTTTTAAATTCTTCCCTCCCCGTCATTTTTATTATTGTTATTATATTATTAACATGTATTTATTATCTGATTAATATCAAAGGATCTTGAAATGTTTGCTCCAATATTTCTCTGAATATAATAAAGTTATAATGTGTGAATACGAGGGGTTTAATAAATATCTATTCTCATTGCTAAGTAATAATTACGAATGTCGAATATGAATAAAAAATGAGCCATATCAATAAAATATTTCATCTCTAGTATCATTAATCAAAAATCATATTGAGAAGAGAGAAGAGATTTATTTTGGAGACAACATTAATCGAATACATGTCACCGCGCATTTTCGGATTCATTTTTCCAATTCATTTTGCATTTGCTTTCCATCTGACCTGACACATTCGCGTACACAAACGAATTAAGACAGTTACTTTCAGTAGACACTGAAATTCTGTAATAACACGGGAAGGGAAACATTTAGCCGGAATGATACACATCCACCGTTACGCGGACTTACGAGCGAGAAATTCGAGTGCCGTGTCCTAATGATTTATCGCCGGCAATCGCTCGTTAATTCTTCGTCGCCGCAGCGTCGCGTCCGTGACTTGCGAAATGCGGCTGAACGGTCGTCGAAAAAAGTAAAATAAAAAAAATTTAAAAATAAATTAATATAATTGTCGCTCGTGTATTGAAAACAAAGTGATAAATATAAGGCCAACTTATCGAGCTGAATATTCGAGATGTTCAGTCAACTACCATTTATTACATGTATAAATTATAAAACTACAGTCATTATATTATATTAAAACTAACGCAAATTAACGCAAATTACAATCATTCTATAAACGTTTCGACCGCACGCGGTCTTCTTCAGTATAATTATTGAAAAATAAATTCTTACAATTCACATGATATCGAAATTTAATTATAGTTATTCAGAATCGAGAGTTTTTGAGCAATTAACGCGTGTTTCAATCCGTCCTGTCCAACAATGTTCGCCTCGATATGATCTCTGATTTTGTTCAGATCTCGGATGATTTCATCGTTAATATGCGAGAAATTAACCCGTACCGTAGGCGCTGCGATTAATAAGAAATTACCGATCAACGTATGTCCAAATTATAATATATATCCCCTACAATTGGTAGTATGCTTACCTATCATCGTTCTTCTTGACAATTTTGCTACTTATTAACAGTTATTAAGGATGACACTTAACAACAACAATACAGAAAGACAGCTCATTTTAAACTCTACTTGATCGGAGAGCGTGCGTGTTTATATATGATCTAATATCTATGTTTTACTCGTTAATGTCCTATTTGTCCTATTATTATTTATTGTTCGCTAATATATCCAAAATATCAAAATACGACTCGCTAAGTAACTCAGTATCTTTGTTTAAATTTAGTCCATTTTTTTGTTCCTTGATATGTAGCATCTCAGAAATGAGTCTTTTATAATAATTATTTTCGTTGTCCATGATCTTAACATTGTCCCAATTAAAAGTATGATGTTCATTTATTATGTGTTCAGAAATTACTGAATGTTTCGTTGAGTCCAACCTAATATTATTTTTATGTTCTTTTATTCGCGTCTGCAATTGCCTCTTTGTTTGGCCTACATAAGATGCATTACAATTATTGCAACTGATCTTATAAACCACATTCGAATTGCATGGATGTTTAGTTTTATCTTTCTGTGCTTTAATAATATTATCCAGTTTGTTGAGACATCTATACCCTACCATACAATTTTTATTTTTCACCGAGGAAACAATCATTTCTGAGACCCTATCTATATACGGAATGACAAAGAATTTTTTATTAACCGAGTCATTTCTTATACTTTTTGTTCTTTCTATGTTGGCCTGTCTCTCTAAAATGCTCCCCTTAGATATGATGTGTTCTATCCGATGATTAATTTTGTTAAAAATCAGATCAAGAGGGTAACCATTGCTTCTGAGTATATTAATAATTAACTCCAAATTTTTATTAAAAAATAGTGGATGTGATAGCAATAGACATCTGTCTACAAGGTTATATATTATTCCAATTTTGTGGCATAATGGGTGGTTTGAATAAAATGATAACGTCCTTCCTGAGAAGGTTTCTTTTTGATACCAGTCTATATATATTTTGTTATTAATAATTTTAAGTGATAAATCTAAGAAATTCAAGCTATGATTAACCTCTTGTTCGACCGTGAATTTAAGTCTTTCATGATAGTTGTTAAAATTATTCACAATCTGAGTCATATTAGTCATAGAGGTGGCCACTATTATGTCATCCACATAACGAAAATAAAACAAACATTCCAAATTCAACGCTTTGAGAACTGTATCCTCAAGATCTTGCATAACCAGGTCTGCAATAATTGGTGATAACGGTGACCCCATAGGGGTCCCAAACGTCTGTTTATAAATTATGTCATCAAATGTAAAATATGTAGAAGTCAATATGAATTTTATACCCCCCAAAAATTCGTTTTTCGGTATTTTAGTATTTATTCCAATGTGATCCCATCTATCGTTAATACCGTCAATCGCAAGATCCAGAGAAACGTTCGTAAACAAAGACACCACATCCAAGGAAAACATCCTATCATTCTCATCAATCTTTTTACCAGACAATATGCTGTACAAATCAAAACTATTATTAATATGACTTTTTGCTTTGGGTAGGCTAGTTCGTAAGGTGTTTTGTAAAA